ATCCTTGCGTCCCTCCCTGGGGCCTCCACCCCAACCCTGCATTCCAGTTGTTCAGCACACAAGTCTGATCAGAATTCTTCTGCTCCTGCAGGCCTTACCCTGACTTCGCCCCATTCCGTGGCCGACCAGGCCTTGAACACGGCTGCAGTGTTAGAACTGCGCCCACTGTGAGGAGGGGCTGAGCCCTCACCTCCTCCACGTCCCCTTCAGCTTCCTCCTCGTGGTGTCGGGCGCCGCGCACAGAGTACCTAGCATGGGGACTGTGAATAGTGGCTCTTGTTCCATGTGTCCTGCCTGCCCTGTCCCTGGTCCTGCAGGTGACTGGGCCTGGACCCTTACTATGGTCCCCAGCTCCCCAACCCGTGCCCTGTCCCGGAGCTGTTGTCCCCTAGTCCTGTAAATATATGGCCTTGGACAGGCACACAGTGTCACCCCTGTAGTCTTAGCACTTGGGAGGCTGAAGCAGGATTGCTTAAGGCCAAGAGTTCGAGACCAGCCTGGGCAACATAGTAAGACCCCTGCCTCTTTAAAAAAAAAAAAAAAAAGATGAGGCTTTCTCACAGGTATTCACTGTGGTTAACAGCTGTGCCCACCTGCCATTTCACCCTGTGTCTGGCACTGGGTGAGGCCCCTGTGGTCTGTGCGCTCACAGAGTCCGCTGAGGAAGACTGCAGGGAGGGATACGGAGGTGGCTCTGTGGCACAGCGTGGGCACCCCCACAGCACCACCAACGCCAATGGGCAGGTGGACACCAGCCAGAGACGCGCTCCCCAGCCGAGGGAGGACAGGTGACCTCTGCTGTGAACCTAGAAATTACCGAGCGCCCCAGCATGACTGCCAGTGAGACCTGAGGACCTTGGGGCTGACCCCTCCGCAGGCAAATGTGGCGCATCCCTGCAGACTGGGCCACAGCAGCCCTCCCCTGCCCTCCCCCATGCTGGCCTTCTCCTTTAAAAGAGAAAAAAAACACAACCCTGTTAATTCATCAGAGCAGATTGTCTGCTGGGGCACCCAGCCTGAGATGGGCGTTTGTGTTCCGTGCCGTGTGGATCAGGTTTCGCGGCTGAGATGTTTAAATCAGCAGCCAGCTCCACTCGGCAGGATTCGGAATTTTCCTCCTGCTCCTGCCAAGTGGCCACCACAGCTGAGCCTGCCGGGCGCAGGGCAGCAGCCCACACCCCTCTGGGTAAAACCTGGGATTCTCCTGCCTGCGGCAGCCCTGCCCTGACTCTCGGTCCACAGCATCTTCACAGTTCATTTCTGCGTTTTTCCACCATGTATTCTCTGTTCTTCTGTATGTCACATCCCTTGCTCCTCTCCAAAGAGAGCCAAAGGTCTAAACTCTAATGAATGCCAGACTTCAAAGGAATAGCCCGCTTCTCCCAGGGGCACAGGAGTCCCATGCTCTGGGGCAAAACCCCTTCTTCGTGTCCAGCTCTGTCATTTCCCAGGCGCCTGGCTCACAGGTGACAAGTCAGGGTCAGGCAGAAAATGCATGAGGCGTGCAGGTGGTGGGTGCAGGTGGGATGCGTGAGCATGGAGTGGGCAGGTCTCCACTGGGCGCCTCTGGGCAAAGATCTGAAAGACTACGAGCCAGTATGGCCAAGCCCTGGGGAAGTGTCTGGCAGGCAACAGTGGGTTCCTTCCCAGAAGCCACTGCCAGGCTTGACTGAGCCGGGGCCTCTCCCATGGTGACTTCTCACCTGGCAGGGTTGGCCAAACCTCACTTCCCCCTGCCCCAGCTGGGGACATGTCACAGCCTCTGTGGGAGGCCAGCATCTGAAGCAGGGGCAGAGTCTTCCCTCTTGGGCCTGGCCTATATTTGTTCCAGGACTGGTGAGAGGAGGCGCTGGTGTCGCTCTGAGGATGGCAGCCCTTGTGGGGCCTGCGGCTCGTCACTTGGGGTTTGCAGCTGGTACTCTGACCCCGTCCAGGTGGGGCCCTTGGGGGAGTGGGGAGGGGTCCCCCACCCATCCTGCCACCCTGATACAGGCTCAGTCAGTGGAGGTGGTCTTTGCAGTCTGCCTCGGCAGAGCTGGACTGCTGGGACTATGGCCTCGGTCTTCCCTCCCTACCGGCAGGGTCTCTGATTCGGGGCATCGGGGCTGGGTGCCCCACAACAGGCAGCTCTTGCCTGGTAGATGGCACCAGGGTTAGGAACGCCCACTCCAGACAGCAAGCCCAGAGGCGCTTTCTGCTGAGCCTCCCTGTGGCGCCCAGCTCTGCCACAGACTCTCAGTCCCCTCCGTGCTCAGCAGTGCTGGTGCTGAGGCCGCAGTGAGTAGGGCTCTGACGGGCAGGAGCCCACGCTTGGTTTCCGCACTTGCGGCTGGCGCTGCACTTGGCCTGGCTGCCTTGCTTTTCCCATGTTTCCCTTGTGGCCATTCATCCCTGTGTCCATCTGTGCCGGTTTCTAGTTTGTGAGCCTTGGAGAGAAGGGACCTTACAGGGTCGTGTCCCCTGCCCAGTGCCTGGCCTGTGGGGGACTATCAGTCACCACAAGGGACTTAGCTGGAGCTGAGCAGAGGGACCTGGGTAGTTAGGACACAGCCTCCTGGGTGTCAGGGGTGCGAGGAGTCAGGTGGTTGTGGGGGTTCAAGAAGTCGTTCTGGGGCTCAGGAAGGCAGGGTCCTGGATTCCCAGGTGAGATGGGCAGGCGGGGCCGGGGCCAGAGCCAGAGGCCACCAGATGGGTCTTTGGTGCCATGGCGGGTCCCCAGCCCCTCCCCTCAGAGACAGGATGTGGTCCCTGCCGGCAGGGCCTCTCCTCCTGCCCTACGTGAGGCAGGGGGCTGGGGAAGGGCCCTAACAGAGCCGCTCCCGCCAGCCTGCACACCAGGTCCTGCCTGGACAGGTCATGGGGCCGGGGTGGCCTCAGCCCAGAAGATGCGGTTTCGCGGCCCGCTGGCTTCAGTTCTCCTCCCGGCTTCCCAGAAGAGTCCAGTCTCACATCAGCCACTCATTTCCCTCTCCGGCAGCCGCTGGCTCTGAGCACGCCCTCTCTCGCCACAATCACGAGAAGTGAAACTGTCCCAGGAAATAGAGTGGAACGCCCCAGAAACACCTAGGGAGGGCGGGCTCCTTCCTCCTCCTGCCTTCAGCAGAAATGGAGGGCAGCCCCACTCTCCTGCCCTGCAAGGGCCATTTCCTGCCTTTCACCTGTGCCAGAGTCTAGCCCTCCCGCGGTGGGTGTGACGAGGGGGGTTTTAAGAAGCTTCCGAGGTGTTGTGTGGCTGAGTTGAGAACCACCAACTCACAGGCAGGAAAGGGACGGGTCAGAGGCGTGGGGCCTGGAGGTCGTGTGTTCACTGAATGCCCGGCGCACATGAAGGCAGGTGGACAGAAAGGGTCCCGATGCGTAGGTGAGGATAGTCCCGTGGTGTGGGGGCTTCTAGAGCCAAGCCTTGGAGGAGGGCCGGGAATTCCTTGGGAAAGGGGCGGCTGTCTTTTTGGGCAGGATGCCAGGACACAAGACCAGCAGTGTACTCTGGGCAGGCTACCTTTTGCAGAGCTTGGGGTTGGGGGCATTTGCACTCATGGTGCCCTGGGCTGTGACCTCCAGGCATGGGCTGGAGGGTACAGCAGGTGCCTGGCATGGGCAGAGCCCCAGGCTCAAGCTTCTCCCGCCCCTGCACTTCCTGCTCTTGGGTCCTGAACTCCTGACTGCCCTGCTGGACACCCCCCAGCCCCACACAGCCAACGCAATGTGGCACCGCAGGGACACTCATGACATCCCTTGGCAACATCTTGTGACAGCTCAGGGCAGACAAGCACCAACTGGACCTGGAGAGCACCGTGGTTGCCTGGTCCAGGGGCACAGGCCATGGCCCGTGTCAATAGTCACCAGCCCACGGCACACAACATCTCCCTCTCCTGCCCAGGCCGTGTGTGCACATCTTCACACGAGTGATCAGACCCGGGACGTTAAAGTTGCCGATGACTTCAGAGATGGCACACCCTGTGACACTTGGCCCCCAGAGGGCAGGGCCAAGCGTGTGACCTCAGGCAGCCTCCCTCTGGGAGCCTCCATTTCTGGCAGGGCCCGGCAGCCACTCGGCTCTTCATGAAGTGCTGTGTGCTGGGAAGGGCTTCACACTATCCCTCTCGCTCTGTTCGCATCCCTTGGCGCCAGGCACACATGGGGTGCCCGGGGTGAAGAAAGCAGCGCCTGTGCACCGACAGCGGTGCTGGGGTTCAGGGGCTCCTGCTATGTTCCATGGGACATTTCAGGGCTGTTCTTCGCATCCCAGGCGCTGTCAGAGGGAGTGGTTTGGGAGTTCAGTGCCTGCTTCTGCCTTCTCACTACACGAGGAAAGAGATGCTGTAAGTGCCTGTCATTGTCATCGCTTTCACTGTAGCTGAGAGCCATGAGGACTGAGGTGTGCCAGGCCTGTGTCGACTGCCTTGTGAAACTCAGTGTCCACATGGGGCAGGGGCCGGGCTGTCCCATCCTGAGACACAGGCACCAGAGCACAGGAGAGTGGTAGCCTCCCTGCCCAGCCGCCTGCACCTCTGCTCCTGTCAGCTCCTGCTGCCTCTCCCCACCGAGCTGGCAGGATTTTTTTTTTTAAGTAGACTCCAAATACTCAAGGATGGGGGCAAATACCTACATTGCTCTCTGTGGGGATGTTTGTGTAGGTGCTTCTGGAAGCAGTGTCTTCTGAGCCATGTGTTCCAGGCTGAGGTTCTGGACTCCACCGGTGGCCGAGATGGGGCCTACTGTGGCGGGGTCCCCAGTGGGCATGTGAGTGGCAGTCAGGACACACACAGGCGGGCAGGCTACCCCCACCCTCACCCTCCCTGTCCTGCAGGCCCGTCCTGCTCCACAGGCAGTGTGTGGCCCTGGGGTGCCCACGGCAGTGCCCGAGGTATGTGTCCTGATCACTTGGCCTACTGCCTCTGGCTGTGGATGCCATGTGGCTGGAAGGCCACCCAGGGCCTCCTGTGCTCTTCTTTCTCCTCCCTCTGGGCTCACAGCGTTTCACCTCTTCTGCCCTCTAGCTGGTCAGTGAGAAGGTCGGAGGGGCCGAGGGGACCAAGCTGGACGATGACTTCAAAGAGATGGAGAAGGTGAGGAAGAAACTGCATGCTCTGTGTGGTGGCGGCACTGCTGGGGCCTGACCTCTGCAGGGCATAGTGGAGGCGGCCAACCCTGATGGACCTGGGTCTGGACTCATGGGGCCCTGCAGGCGTGGAGAGCTGGGGTGGTGTGGGGGCCTCGTCAGCTGGACTTGACAGGCACCAGCTCTCTCCCCTGCCCTGGGCAGGCAGCTGTGGGGACATGGCTGAGCTGAAGACATGGAGAGGGGGTTGGGGGGTCCTGGTATGGGCTCCTACGGCAGGAGGTGGTGCAGCAGTGGGGGCCTTGTGTGCCTTGGGCCCCCAGTGGCTGTGGAGTCTTTTTTTTTTTTTGAGACGGAGTCTTGCTCTGTCGCCCAGGCTGGGGTGCAGTGGCCGGATCTCAGCTCACTGCAAGCTCCACCTCCCGGGTTTACGCCATTCTCCTGCCTCAGCCTCCCGAGTAGCTGGGACTACAGGCACCCGCCACCTCGCCTGGCTAGTTTTTTGTATTTTTTAGTAGAGACGGGGTTTCACCGTGTTAGCCAGGATGGTCTCGATCTCCTGACCTCGTGATCCACCCGTCTCGGCCTCCCAAAGTGCTGGGATTACAGGCTTGAGCCACCGCACCCGGCCTGGCTGTGGAATCTTATATGCTGCTTCTCTCCACAGAAGGTGGATGTCACCAGCAAGGCGGTGACAGAAGTGCTGGCCAGGACCATTGAGTACCTGCAGCCCAACCCAGGTGGGTGCTCTAGCCACTGCCAGGGCCTGCCCCAGGCCCTCTGGCCTCTGTCAGTCAGAGGGAACGTAGGGGATGACAGAACCACCAGGCTCATAGGTGGCAGGCTTCAGGCACAGCTGGATTCAGGGGTGCAGAGACCATCCTTGGCGCCACATGCTGCCTTTCCACCTCAGCCAGCAGCTCAGTCCCCCTGTTGACTTCACTCATGCCGACTGGTTCCTCGAGGCTGTCCCAGCCTTAAACCCCTCTTCCAGCCAGCAGTCCTGGCAGGGAGCCTCTCCCCCAGCTCACTTGTGGGACCTATTTGTATTGGCCGCCCCCTCACCCAGTGCCCCTGGGATGGGTCTCCCTGGCCGAGAGACGGACCTTTCCCCAAGGAAAACCCAAACACTGGCTCCATAGGAGGCCAAGGACAGTGGGTAGATGCACACCCAGCAGCGTCCACTCAGGCCCTGCCAGGAGCAGGCAGCAGAAGGGTAGCTCACCTACCCCGGGAGCCTTGGCCTCACTACCCCCCACTGCATATCACTGCTGTGCCTCCTCCCTGGGACCCCCCAGATGAGAGGTATAGCCACATTCCAAGAGGAACAGCCCTTGGAAGGAGGATGTGTTGCCCCCTGAGGAGCTTGGTCACCTCTCCACCCGCTGCCAGTTCCTTCGAGGCTAGCGGGGGAGCAGGGAAGGGACCCTCTGGGGATTCCACTGTGCTTTGTGTGGCCTGGACTGTCCACAGGCACGGGAGGCAAAGGTGGGGCAGGGGATGTGGGGGCTGCAGCCTGCCAGGGCGGAGGAGTGCAGGCCTCGCAGCCCACATCTACCTGGCCATCCTATCCCAGCCTCGCGTGCTAAGCTGACCATGCTCAACACGGTGTCCAAGATCCGGGGCCAGGTGAAGAACCCCGGCTACCCACAGTCAGAGGGGCTCCTGGGCGAGTGCATGATCCGCCACGGGAAGGAGCTGGGCGGCGAGTCCAACTTTGGTGAGTGGTGCTCTCTGGAAGCCACGCCCACCCTCCCTGGAGGCCACGCCTCAACACAGGCAGGGCAGGTGCAGGTCCAGGTCCAGGTCCAGCCGATGGGGCCCCTTCCTGTAGCTCCAGACCTTCCCCAGCTCAAGCCAGCTGGTTCCCCAGAGTCTGGACACCCCCCCCCCCCCCCACATCTATCCTTCCACCACCTTCAGCCTGTTAAGGGCAAACCTAGGCCCTTTTAGGAGCGTGGGGAGGGGGCTGGTTTAACATCCAGTATTGATGGGGATTTTAGGATCCTTTGTTTTGTTCTGAGTTCCAATTTCCAGGCCCTTGGCCTGGAGTGTGGGGGCTGTTAGAAGTTGGGATGGGGCTGAGTGCAGTGACTCACGCCTGTAATCCCAACACTCTGGGAGGCCGAGGCAGGTGGATCACCTGAGGTTGGGAATTCAAGACCAGCCTGACCAATATAGAGAAACCCCCCCCTGCCTCTACTAAAAAATACATATATATATATATATATATAAAAGATATAATTAGCCGGGTGTGGTAGCGCATGCCTGTAACCCCAGCTACTCAGGAGGCTGAGGCAGGAGAATCACTTGAACCCAGGAGGTGGAGGTTGCAGTAGCCCAGATTGTACCATTGCACTCCAGCCTGGGCGACAAGGGCTAAACTCCATCTAAAAGAAAAAAAAAGGCTGGGCGCGGTGGCTCACACCTGTAATCCCAGAACTTTGGGAGGCCGAGGCGAGTGGATCACGAGGTCAGGAGTTGGAGGCCAGCCTGGTCAATATGGTGAAACCTCATCTCTACTAAAAATACAAAAATTAGCTGGGTGTGGTGGCGCACACCTGTAATCCCACCTACTGAGGAGGCTGAGACAGGAGAATCACTTGAACCTGGGAGGCAGAGGTTTAAGTGAGCAGAGATCGCGCCACTGCACCCCAGCCTGGGCGACAGCGAAACTTCATCTCAAAAAAAGACGTTGGAAAGGATGCGGGTGTGGTGGTGCACGCCTGTGGCCCCAGCTACTTGGGAGGCTGAGGTGCCAGCATGGCTTGAACCCAGTTCGAGGCTGCAGTGAACTGGGACAGCGCCACTGTGTTCCAGCCTGCGAAGCCCTGTTTCAAAAACAAAGGCTGAGGAGTGTCTTGGTCCAGTGGTCTCAGGCCCGGCTTCTCCACAGGCGACGCATTGCTGGATGCCGGCGAATCCATGAAGCGCCTGGCAGAGGTGAAGGACTCCCTGGACATAGAGGTCAAGCAGAACTTCATTGACCCCCTCCAGAACCTGTGTGAGAAAGACCTGAAGGAGATCCAGGTGCTGCTGCTGCGCCAGCCCGGGGCCTATCCCTTCCCCCTGCTGGATGGGGCAGCCCCATTCCTGCCACCCTTGGCACTGCCCTCTGGGTCTCACTCGGGCAGGTGGGATCCCCAGTGGTGCAGAGACAGTGGGTCAGGGCCATGCATGGGGCAGGTCTCTGGCTGCTGCTGGCCTGACCCATGTCCCCCACTATCTCCAGCACCACCTGAAGAAGCTGGAGGGCCGCCGCCTGGACTTTGACTACAAGAAGAAGCGGCAGGGCAAGATCCCTGATGAGGAGCTACGCCAGGCACTGGAGAAGTTCGAGGAGTCCAAGGAGGTGGCAGAAACCAGCATGCACAACCTCCTGGAGACCGACGTGAGTAGCTGGGGCTGCCACGTCCTGACAAGCCCCATGCCCTTGGGAGGCCGGAGGCGGCAGTGACCTGGCCTCTGCAGCAGGGGAGGTTGAGGGTACAGGCCCCAGTCCCCTGTCCCCTTTCGGCCCCCTTGCCTCCTGTGGCTTCACCTCGTGAGTCAGGGAAGGCACAGGACAGTGGTGCTGGCAGGAGCCCCTGAGCCCTGTTGTCCCCACAGATCGAGCAGGTGAGTCAGCTCTCGGCCCTGGTGGACGCACAGCTGGACTACCACCGGCAGGCCGTGCAGATCCTGGATGAGCTGGCCGAGAAGCTCAAGCGCAGGTGAGCCTGGGCTGCCATGGGCCTCTGCCAGCGCGCGTGGGCAGCACACCTCACTCTGGGGTGAGCGCATGGCATGGCAGAGCAGCATCCTGGATTCTTGCTGGGGACCAAGTGGAATGGCCTGGGGGGCCACAAGGTTGGAGGAGGAGGAGCCGGGGCTGTGAGAACTCCGAGTCAACACGCGGCCCTGCCCCAGATGCAGGCCCTGGCGACTCCTAACCACGTGCCTGTTTCTTCCCTGGCTGCACTTTCTGCTGCCACAGGAACACCCAGGCTCCCTTCCCTGAACACAGAGGCCAGACCTGCTTTGGGGGCCTAGGCATGTGTCGGGCACCAGCTGTGGTAGGGAATGGGGGGTGGAAGTGGGGGGATGCGACTGGGGGCGTTGTAGGTATAGGCCGTGGCAGGACCCAGCTGCTTGGCAGTCTCTGAGATGGCTCCAAGGTGGGGGTCCAGGCTGGAGGCCCTCTGGGTAGACATCCCAGTCTAGCTGTGTCCCAGGGTCCATGTGTCACGACCCCACTGACAGCCTCTTCCTGCAGTCCCAGGCTAGGTTACTAGGCAGCAGCATAAATACAGGGGTGGGGCTGCCTCAGCCGTGACACTCACGGGCTCAGGCCACTCACACCTCTCCCTTCACAGGATGCGGGAAGCTTCGTCACGCCCCAGGCGGGAGTATAAGCCCAAGCCCCGGGAGCCCTTTGACCTCGGAGAGCCTGAGCAGTCCAACGGGGGCTTCCCCTGCACCACAGCCCCCAAGATCGCAGGTAACCAGACATGGAGCCATCTTCTGGAGGCACATGCCAGTGGGTGGGAGTGGCCGAGGGCTGGCCTCGTCCTGGCTCTCTTGAGTGCCAGACCCCAGACCCCTGGCTGCAGCTCTCAGCCCTACTCCATCTGGACCACCAAGGCAGATGGGAAGGGCTGGTCCCAGTCCTCTGCAGAAGGGGCCCTGCCCGTTGGTCTTAAGCCCACAACCTCCTCGTTTTGCTTGTTTTAGCTTCGTCGTCTTTCCGATCTTCCGACAAGCCCATCCGAACCCCTAGCCGGAGCATGCGTGAGTGTTCCCAGTCCTGCCTTGACCTCAGTGCTGCCTTCTCGGCCATTCGGGGAGGGTGTTTCTCCTCCTCCTCTGTCCTCTGTCCATCTCAAGCAGGGAGGAGCCAGGCTCGGACAGCAGCGGGGGGCACAGGCCCCACAGCCTGCGAGACGCCACCCCTCTGGGTCTCAGCCTCATTGTGTGAATGAGGGATTGCCAAAGGCACTAGCCCAGTTCTAGGCTATGTGGTGGCTGCAAGGGCTGAGGGCATCTGGTCATTTCTTGTCACCACAGCAGCACTGGGTGTCCCCAGCACCTCCCAGGAGTAGCTTTGGTGACCACTTACCAAGCTTCTCCCATCCTCCCTCCTGGGTGGTAGTAGAGGCCAGACCCCAGAAGAAATGGCAGGGGCAGGGGGTGGCCCAGGCAGGGCGGAGGGAGGCCTCTGCCCACCCACAGGCTCCAGGTCACAGCAGCTCTGAGACCCCAGACTGGGAGGGGTGAGGTGTAGCAGCCCCAGCCCTAGGCGCCATCCCCACAGCCTGCTTCCTCCCCCAGTGCCCCTGGACCAGCCAAGCTGCAAGGCGCTGTACGACTTCGAGCCGGAGAATGACGGGGAGCTGGGCTTCCGTGAGGGCGACGTCATCACACTGACCAACCAGATTGACGAGAACTGGTACGAGGGCATGCTGGACGGCCAGTCGGGCTTCTTTCCGCTCAGCTATGTGGAGGTGCTTGTGCCCCTGCCGCAGTGACTGGCTGGCGCCCCCGCCCCACCCCTCCGTCCACACTGGCTGGCACCCTTTGCTGGGTCTCCTGCATTCCACGGAGCCCCTGCTGCCAGGGCAGTGTCTGAGCCTGCTGGCGCCACTTGGGCCCTGGCCCTCGAGGTACTCCCTTAGCAGGGCCCCACACTTGGGTGAGGGGGTTTATCTGGGTGGGTGGGGATGCCTGTTTACACTAGCGCTGACCCCCAACCGTGACGGCTCCCTTCCCCACTCCATGGCGCCGGCCTCCTCCCCGCTCCCCAACTCCTCGCCCAGCTGGCCCAGGCGGGGCAACACTAAGGTGCTCTCAGAAACACTAATGTTCCTCCAGGGCAGCCCCACCTCCATCCTGACCCCACGGGGGCCCGGCCCACTGCCTACCCTCGAGTCCCACAGCCTTAACGGGATGGGATCGAGCATCCCCGTGGGGTGGCTCAGAGACAGGACCCTGGTTTTAAATCCCCTCCCAGCCTGGTGCTGGCGATGGGCCCTGGCCCTACTCCAGGGCCACTGCACTTCCGCCTCACACATGCACTCCTTCTCCCCAAGGCCAGGGCAGAGGGCCTCACCGCCTCCCCGGCCTGCTGTCAGCTTACAGCCTGGGGACAGAGGCCAGCTGGGATCTGCCAGAGGACAGAGAACATGGTCTCCTGCAGGGCCCTGCCTCCCAAGCCCCACCCTTACAAAGCCAAGTACCTTTTCAGCTTTTTAACTGCCCCCAGCCAGGCCCATGGAGGCCTGTGTCACTCTGGCACGAGCTGCCATCACCAGCCACCCACACACCCCCCCAGCACACCTCGCACGGGACCACAGCCCCAGCCGCAGCTGCGCTACCAAGGGCCAAGCACAAAGGCTCCAGTGAGCAAGTTCCAGTCCCTGGTGGCCAGGCCTCCCCTTGCCAAGCCACTGCCACCCCATCCTGTGGGAAGTGGCCCCGGCCATCTCCTCTAGACCAACACAGGCAGCCCCAGGGTCCCCAGACCCCTGCCCAGATCAGCAGGTCTGTAGCCCCAACATCTGCTTCCTGTTGCCCAATCCAAAATCGATGAAATGGGGGCTCCTCTGAGCTGGGCCACATTCACATTCCCCTCCCCCTGTGGCCCAGTGAAGCCTCTGGACCCCAGGCTCTGCCCTGCACCCCCTCGTCAGAAGTACATGAGGGGCACAGACACCCGGCAGAGGTGAGCCCACAGCCTTGGGCATGGTCCAGGGCAAACTGAAATGTACACCTGAATTTTGTAAACAGAAGTATTAAATGTCTCTTTCTACAGCCCCTTGCCTCATCTTGGTGCAGGGGTGGGCCTGCCACCCACCGCCTTCCCGAGGGGCAGGCTCCCCATGGCCACACACACCCCAGGAGGTCCCCCTGGCACCCCAGGTGCTCAAGGCAGGTGGGATAGGGCTTGAGGCTTTTGTGCCAGTTCCCAGGTGCAGGGGCTGAGGGGTGCCCTGGAGTTTAATGCCCTGCCCTGGAAGTGAGGAAGCAGGGGTGATGGTACCAGCCTGGGCACCCAGCCACCCTCACCCCAGCCTTGGGGAGACCAGCGTGGCTGGCTGCTGCTTCCATTTCTTTATTACCTGAGCCCATCCGGACCCTCCAGACAACTGGAGCCCACCCTGCCCTGGGAGGCTCAGCTCCCCTGCTTAAGGATGCCGCACACCTGCTCCAGAACGTGGCACAGGCTCTGGTCCTTGGGCGTCCTGCTGGCCAAGGAGATCTGAAACAAGGGGGCTGGGCCTCAGGCTGCACCCGGGGGTCTTAGCCAGCCCTGTACCTCACAGTCTACTGTCCAAGTCCAGCATCCTGAGTGAGCCCCCCTGAGACCAAGGCATAGGGCTGGGGTCCCGCAGCACAGCCTGCTGCTTACCCAGTGGGGCGGTATGTGACCGGAGGGCCTGGCTCCCAGGGGCAGTGGTGCTGTGTGGAGGGGTAGAGCTTTCTTACACGCTCCCGATCCTGCCCCCACCTCAGCCCCTCCCTGCCTGGGTCCCAGACACCCATGGGGATACCACAGCCTCCAGAGCTAGCTGAGAGCTGAGCAGAATGAGCCCCTTTCTATGCCAGGTGGAGGGAGACCAGGAACTACTACCCTGAGACACTCAGGGGTGGCCAGGACCCTGGGTCCTCTGCAGGGGAAACACTCCCAAACCTGATGCTGGGACCTCATCCAGCACTGCAGGAGCTTAAAGCTCCACAGTCCAATCAAACCTGGCCTGCACCCTGCTTCGGTGGCTGCGGGGTGACCAGGGTCAGGAGCACTCTGCCAGCTGGGCTGTCCCGGGCCGCTGAGGCCCACAGGGCTCACTGCTGCCACCTTTCAGGCTGCCCGGGGGCCCCTCCTGGAGCTTCGTTAGGAGGTCTGCAGGGACTTGGGGCTCACCTTAAGCTTGTCGAGGTAGGTGTGCTCCTGGCTCCAGGGTTCCTGGAGCCTCACGAGGTCAGGGGCACCCTTGTAGAACTCCACCAGCAGCATCTACAGGACAGGGGAGCATGGACTCCCAGACTCCCTCCCAGCCGGAGGTGCACCAGCCCCTCTCCTGGGGCTCCAGTCTCAGGCAGCCCCGAGACATGACCCCAGTCACTAAGAAAGCAACCACAGAGATCGGGGAGGCAGCAGCGTTGCCCAGGTGGCTGCCACGAGAGGTCCACCTGGACCTGCACCCACTGAGCCCAGCTCTCCAGAACCACGCAGGCCTGACATGGCCCCCTGGTTCAGCCTCATCCCCAGCAGCGACACCTGTGAGGTCACAGGTTTGATGAACTAGTTTGGGTTTTGTTGGGTTTTTTCCTTGAGATGGAGTCTCACTCTGTGGCCCAGACGGGTACAGTGGTGCGATCTCGGCTCACTGCAACCTCCACCTCCCGGGGTCAAGAGATTGTCCTGCCTCAGCTTCCCAAGTAGCTGGGACTATAGGCACCCCCCACCACTCCTGGGCTAGTTTTTCTATCTTGGTAGAGACAGGGTTTCGCCATGTTGGCTAGACTAGTCTCTCCACCTCAGCCTCCCAAAGTGCTGGGATTACAGCCGTGAGCCACTATGTCTGGCTTAGTTTAGTGTTTTTAAATGCACGTTGAACACATAATTGTTAAGTGTTCATCCAGGTACCACCCAAAGTCCCTGGGGTTTCTCTACTCGACAGCCTGGCAGAAGAGGCCAGCGCCTTGGAGAATAGCAGGTGGGGAGGTGAGGGAGAGCAGAAGTTGGGGCCCTGGCAAGGGCCTGGGACTCTGTCCTGAGTGATGGAAGAAGCCCTGACCCAGGCCCCCAAGGCGCCACCAGCCATAGCTTCCCAAGCCCACCAGTGGGAAGCAGACCAGCCCATCTTGTGTGCCCAGCTGCGCACTGCCAGCCCCCGCCTGCCCACCCCGCAGCGAGCTCACCATCTCGTGAAGGATGTCATTGGTCAGGAAGCTGTCCTGGACGTAGGCCATCTCCACGTCCATGGGGATGCCATAGTCACTGGGCCTTTGCTGGCAGGGACACAGACCAGTCAGAGAAGCCTCACTAGCCCCCAGCCCATAGCAGCTGGAGACAACGGGTAGTGCCTGGGCTGGGAATGGGAGAGTGCACACCTCGGCCCAGCTCTGCACCGGGATCGGCACCTGGCGGTGGGACTAGGGAGGCGGGGTAGCATCCTCCCTCCGGGAGAGGCCCCGAAGAGAGCCAGTGCCCTGAAATGACTTCCCAGGGCTGACCTCTGACCTCAGGGCAGGCTTGGGGAGTGAAGCCAGGCTGGGTCAGGAAGGGAGCCCTCTTTGTGCCAAGCAGTCAGCTACCCATGGAGGTCCTCCGCCCAAGCCCTCACCAAAGCCTCGGCAGGGCAGCAGTCATGTCCCCATTTCACAGACAGAGAAACTGGGGCCCCAACTCTCCAGTGGAGCCCGGAACCAGGGGCCCCTGCCTAGTTGTGACCCAAATGCCCCAGTGTCCCTGGGCCCCCCAGGCTCTCCCAGCAGCCCCACCTACCTCGGGAGGAGGCATCACCCAGAAAGGTGAGATCTTGGACTCCGGGCCTGGGTTGCCAGAGTAGTAAGGGGCTGGCAGAGAAGAGGGAGAGAGGGGCTGGGCCTGGGAGGCTCGGCTGGCCCAGCATCCCCCCCTCCTTGCTCCCCCCACCGCCCCATCCGGCATACAGCAGAGCAGGGCGAGGCAGGGCTGGAAGCCGTTGCTGGAGCCCTGCAGCCGCAGCTGGTAGTCCATCTGTGCATCGATGTCTTGCAGAGACGGCAGCGCCGGGCTGTGCGGGTGGCTGTGGTACCAGCCCACCAGGGACAGGCCCCGCAGGAACAGGCTCTGGTAGACCTGGGGACAGAGGCGCAGCTCAGGGGGCACAGGGACCTGAATGGCTCTAGTGAGCTCATGCGGCCGGCCAGCCCTGAATAAACTCCTGCTGTGTATCAGGCCTGGGGACACAGTGATGACCAAGACAGGCCCTGCCCCCACCACCACTGAGTCCAGTGGGAGCTGGAGAGACAGCCAACAAGTACATCTGTTAATATAAAAGGCGCACCCTGCCACAAAGCCGGGACACGGAAGTCGTTTTGTTAACTGCTGTAGCCCAGCTTACGGAATAATGGTCACCACACAGTAAGCACTCAACAAATAGTTAAAAATAGGCTGGGCATGGTGGCTCACGCCTGTAACCCCAGCACTTTGGAAGGCTGAGATAGGCAGATCACTTGAGGTCAGGAGTTTGAGACCAGCCTGGCAAACATGGAGAAACCCCTTCTCTACTAAAAATACAAAAATTAGCCAGGTGTGGTGGCACGTGTCTGTACTCCCAGCTACTGTGGAGGCTGAGGCAGGAGGATCTCTTGAACCTGGGCAGTTGGCGCTGCAGTGAGCCGTGATTACGCCACTGAAGTCCAGCCTGGGCAACAGAGCAAGATCGTGTCTCAAAAAAAGGAAAAGGCCGGGCGCGGTGGCTCACGCCTGTAATCCCAGCACTTTGGGAGGCCGAGACGGGCGGATCACGAGGTCAGGAGATCAAAACCATCCTGGCTAACACAGTGAAACCCCGTCTCTACTAAAAAATACAAAAAACTAGCCAGGCGAGGTGGCGGGCGCCTGTAGTCCCAGCTACTCAGGAGGCTGAGGCAGGAGAATGGTGTAAACCTGGGAGGCGGAGCTTGCAGTGAGCCGACGCCACTGCACTCCAGCCTGGGTGACAGAGCGAGACTCCGTCTCAAAAAAAAAAAAGAGAAAAAAAAAAAAAAGAATAGCAGCTGGCACTTAAAGTAGCCTTGAATAGATGAGGCCTGGCACTGAGCATTCAATATTGGCAGCCCTTCACTTTTTATTTTTTTAGATATAGGGACTTGCTCTGTCACCCAGGCTGGAATGCAGTGGCACCATCTCAGCTCACTGCAGCCTCAACCTCCTGGACTCAGTCTATCCTCCTGCCTCAGCCTCTCAAATAGATGGAGCATACCACCATGCCTGGCTAATTTTTTTATCTTTTGTAGAGACGGGGTCTTGCTGTGGCCCCAGGCTGGTGTCGAACTCCTGGGCTCCAGCAAACCTCCTGCCTCAGCCTCCCTAAGTGATGGGATGCCAGGTGTGAACGCCTGGATCCGATGACCTTTCATCGAAGCCACTCATTATACAGACAAGGAAACCAAGGCTCTGAGAGGGGAGGGGGCTGGCGAGGTTTCAGCACCAGGGCTAGGAGATCCAAAAGCAGTGCTCTTAGGCTGGGCGCGGTGGCTCATGCCTATAATCCCAGCACTTTGGGAGGCTGATGCGGGTGGATCACCAAAAGTCAGGAGTTCGAGACCAGCCTGGCTAACATGGTGATACCCTGTCTCAACTAAAAATACAAAAATTAGCTGGTCATGGTGGTGCACACCTGTAATCCTAGGTATTCAGGAGGCTGAAGCAGGAGAATCGCTTGAATCCAGAAGGTGGAGGTTGCAGTGAGCCAAGATCACACCCTGCACTCCATCCTGGGCGACAAAGCGAGACTGTCTCAAGGAAAAAAAAAAAAAAAAGGCCGCGTGCAGTGGCTCACACCTTTAATCCCAGCACTTTGGGAGGCTGAGGTGGACGGATCACAAGGTCAAGAGATTGAGACCATCCTGGCCGGGAGCAGTGGCTCACACATGTAATCCCAACACTTTGGGAGGCCAAGGTGGGTAGATCATGAGGTAAAGAGATCAAGACCATCCTGACCAACATGGTGAAACCCCGTCTCTACTAAAAATACAAAAAATTAGCCAAGTGTGGTGCCACGCGCCTGTAGTCTCAGCTACTTGGGAGGCTGAGGCAG